CGCACAACGAAAGTCGTGCAATGGTTGTAAAGTGTATGGGCACCTTTAGAATGTGTAGGCTTACATAAGATTTAATATAGTTATACATTTCGGATGCTGTTGTTTGAACGAATGACTGAAACATTTGCAATCAGCTCTAATCAGATTGGAATTTTAGCATTTTGCAAAATTAATTATTAATACAATATTCTTCTCTATTTCATTCAAACTACACTTAGTGGATTATACTACAGCTTATGTTACAGACTGTCATATAATGTATGTAACCAAGTGTACTGTTTGAACAATCTATGAAACACACATATGTCTATGTATTTCAAGCAGAAGTTTAGCATTTCTAAACGGGGTCAGGGAAGGGAAGGAGTACAATTTCCAGGAACACTCTACTACTGAGGGAGGGATGGGAACAGTGGCCCTAAAGATCTGGGTAATTGTCCCCACACACACACTGACACTATAAGAAAGGTGTAGTCTTTTGCTGCCAAGTAATAAAAAATGCAAAAATACAATCTGGGACAGTACTTTAATGTCTCAGTCCCAAAAAATGCTGTAAGGTTTTCTACGTACAAAAGTTGTACAAAAGTATCAGCTGCTGCCATATAACAAAAAGATGAACAGATACAAACAGCCTCCTGAGTAAGAAATCTGGCAATCTTGTTAGTAATCTAAAACCTAAAATGCTGTTGTAGATTGTAAAATGCTGCTTGCTGTTTTTAGAAATGGAAATGGCATTCAGATCAGTACAGCAGCAATCTTTTGTAATTCCCTTCTCTGTTACTAATTGCACATAGTGATAGTTAGCGAATTGCACATAGTGGTTTTAATATCAGGTAATGCCCACTCGCAACCGCCCCAGTCAACAAACCATGTCCTATATGCTCAGTTTTTCGATGGGCCAGTGTCCATGTACTCTACCTCCTCTCATTGGCTTCTGTTGATGGCAGGACAGCCATTAGTGGCAAAATGACATAAATAACAGTGCTGTGGATCATTTATCATGTTGGATCCTATGAGCTGGGATCATTCCATTAATTCCTGTACATAGCTTAGTAACATCCTTTCTGCTACGTTGTTGGAAATGGCAGAATAGTGTTTTTTGTTAGTTTTGTTTTGAAACCTCTGCTAACTAAATAGGAAATTATATTCTTATTATTTCTGTAATGTATAGACCCCATGTGTTAAATTAGTATTAAAGTCTTTATTTTGGCATATATCTACACTACAGCTAGTAAAAAAAAAAAGTTTGCAAATACCAACAAACTTACCTGTGTCAGCACCGCTCACTCCCGGCTCCCGAACACTGTGAAGGAGGAAGTGTGGGCGGACGCATGTGCAGTCCAGATCACTGGAGGGGAGAGGAGGAGATTGACACTGAAACTGAATGGACGCAGCCAGGCAGACTCAGTGGGACGCGAGGAGTCTGCGCTGGATCAGAGACAGGCACCAGCGCTGGAGGGACTGTTGAAAACAAGTGAAAGGAAGAAGTTGTTCGGATCAAGAGTCATCACATAAGGAAAGTCCTTAAAGCAACATGTGGGGGGCGGGGGGGGGGAGAATTCTGCCCTAAATGTCACTTTTATTGAATAAAGTAGCACCATCGTAATAACATTATTGCATGCTGCTACTTCTTTCAGTGAACTTCAGCAAAGGCAATAAAAATGCCTGCGTTTAACACTTTTGGTAGTTAGTATAACACAAAGTATAACACTTTTGGCAGTTAAATATAACCTTCTCGTAGATATCTGTACATCAGTCCAAAAAGAGGGACACCTGAGGAGGAAAGAGGGACAGAGGGATTTGGTTCCAAATGAGGAAGGGACTTTTTATCCCTCCAAAAGAGGGTCAGTTGGAAGATATGAGTCACTAGTATCACTGTCATTGGTTGATGACAGCAATTCAGGGCCGTCCCTACCCTACATGCCACCTGAGGCCATAGAGGAAGGGGTGCTGCTAATAGTGCGCCTGGTGGGGGGGCTTTGCTAATAACGGTAATGTGGGTGGGGCAGATGCAGTGGGACGGGTGGGTTAGAGACGTGCTGTCAGCGGCTCTCTGTCTGGTCCTGCCCAGCTCACTGACTTCACTGGTTGCCAGGAGCTTGGTGGGACAGCAGCCAGAGCGTCCCACTCAGCTCCCTGCAACTGATGACATCAGTGAGCTTGGCAGGAAGCCGGGCAGAGGGTCACAGGTTGGTAAGAGCTCTTAGCAGCCTGGGACTTTGTGGCCGCCCCTCTGCTGCACCCCCAATGAGTTGCTGCCTGCGGTGACACTATAGGGATGGCCCTGAGAGCAATATACCATGTCTTTAACTCAGTACAAGTATACAGAATTTCTCACTTCATTGGCTCAATGCTTGTTTCAGGACTATGCACCAAAAGATCAGTAATGTGTTTCCTTTATGACTTTTGTCTAAAGCATTCAAACTGGTAAGTTGTCGATTCAAATGAACTTGTCACATTCGCTGGAATAAATATCATATCACAGATTAAATTATGTAGAAATTAAGTTTTGGTAAATAATAAGATAATAAAAACTCCAGTCTGTATCTGGGAACCCAGCTGCCCCCCTCAGTTGATCGCTATCATCTTGCCAAAGCTATATCTGCCTGATGTGTCTATAGTAATGGAAATCTGTAAAGCAATGTGGGCATTATGTTCGGAACTCTGGTGTACACTGTTTCTGTCCTGCTAGATTTACCTTTATTAATTGCAACAGGAAAACATTGGAGCTGAATGATTACTACAGGCAGTGTGATTTTAGCACTCTGGCAAAGATACTAAAGCACTACAATAACTTAGTACTGCTTTTGCGATCCAGCTACCCAAAAGTAGTACAATACAGACAAGACATTAAAAAAACATGTCTCCTCCTGGCTCCTCTGAATGCCTCTATATAGCAACCCTGCAGTGCTAAACTGATGGGGAGCAGCATTTTCAAATTTTCCTGAGTCCACTAGATGGTGGTATCACTAGATGGGTATCAATCAGAAGAAATCATTAATTAATTGATCTGCATTTATAGCACTATATAGCAGTTGATATGTCTCTGTTATGTTTTCTTTTGCTCACTTGTTTTATTTTGCTAGTTTGCCTATGTTAGCCATTTTATTTTTCTCTTTCTCCCTATCACCATTCTCCTCTGATTCAAGTGTTCTTGCTCCCAACATCTACCAGTCTATAGAACGTGACTTTACATTTACTAAGCGTGCTTTTTTTTTATAGACAAGTGACATAACAATGCCGTGACAGGAGAAGAGTCGTGCCTCTCTTTGAAAATAACAGTCCATTTGATCATTTTAGATTTGTTACAACCTTTCCACAATGTCAGTTCTAAATTTACTATCTGTGTACACATCTCGTACTTCTCCCCTGCTGGGAAGGTTTTACATGGACACCTTATGTTGGGCCTTATGTACAATACACAATAGACGTTTTCTGACTCTGAGATCAGTCATAATCTTTCAGGAACAAACTGCACAGATAATCAATTTTAACCTTAAAGGGTAATTAGCTTAAAGATAGGTACACGTGACTAAAGTTGTGGATTAAAAACTAGAGCAAAGCATACTTAGAACATTCATAATTAGTACCAGCAATCCTTTTTATGAGTTTTCATTATTTCATGTTGAAAGCACTACCTAAAATATAGAGCTTCACACATATATATGCAACATTTCACACTATTGTACAAATATTTTTGGAATACATATAAAGCTGAACTCCAGGCAAACAGCTATTTAACAGATATATTTTATTTACTTAACACTGACATATACCAAGCTCTAAACCTGCAGCTTGATGACATGACTTTTTTCTACAGCTGTTAAGAAGCACAGCTAGGTCACCTCCCTGCCCCCAGCCTGTGATTGGATAGAAAATGAGCAGCAACTTTTTTCCTCTCTCCTCCTGTCAGCAGGTTCTTTGTCATCATATGTACATGCAGCACACTTGGTGGTCACCAATTGCTGTTTTGTGGGACAATTACAAGAGGATAGAATCACATCATGTTAAGGTTACTTACAATATTTGCATTTAAGATGCATTTAGTATGTTTTAAACAAATACATAACTGCATTTATTGATATTTTCTGCCTGGAGTTCAGCCTTAAAGTTTCAATCTACCTTTATTTTGAATATTTTCAATTCTAATTATGATCTTAAATATTTTCATATATATCCATAAGTATTATATGAGTGCATTTTTAGGCACATAGACCTCAAAAGGAGCACATAGACAATGCATATATATTGCATTAAGCCCCGATCCCCTAGCAACCTAAACTTTATTTTACCTTCATTGGCCAAAACAAAAATGCACTTTGGCCAAAACAAAAATGCATGACGCATAAAAATGTGCTAAAACACGCATGCAGATTCAAACACACAAGTGTGACCAAACACTAAACGGTCCCTTAGCCCTCATTAGCACCTGAGCAATCAAAGGCATGTTTACACAAGCGCTTCAATGCTTGACACTTATATTTTCGTTTATGCTATTATGCTCATTAACAATTGAGCAATGTGATGTTGCTGAAAAAAATATAGGATCTTCTTTGGTGCAAGATTGTATGTCTTTGGCCTCAAATTGCATGTCTATGGCCTAAAAACAGGCTGAAAAATGGGCATGCCTAACAATTGTCTCCTACTCCTAGTAACTAGCTTTCCATTGTCAAAAACAACAAACTGAAAAATGTGTGAAAACCGTGTGTACAAAATGTGCAAAGAGCGACCAATGCTTAAGTGCTAAGTGCATTGTTTACATTTTATGAAGCTCATCAAATCAGCTCTTCCCCATTATGAATTCAGAAGAATATTTTTTTTCCTTTAGCTAGATCCTTGGTGTAAGAAGTAAACATTTTCTATTCAGAGTTTTCTAAAGCTTTTTATTTTGTAATCTGCTAAAGAAACCGGTTCTGCACTGCTCCATCCAGATCCACAGGCAGCCACACACTGTTTTGACATCAAACAGCAGAGGGATGTATGTATAAAAGGCCAGCGTCTCTAGTAAAATCCCAGATGAGGTCACAGACCAGGACATCCAAACTAAACAATGGCCACTCAGTCCCAGGGCATCCAGCAGCTACTGCAGGCAGAGAAAAGAGCAAAGGACAAACTAGAAGAGGCCAAAAAGAGTAAGAATATGAGTATTGTTGGGAAGTAATAGAGTCTATGTTCATTGTCTAGAGCAGCTGACACCATGCTATTTATACATTCAATCGTGTTATTAAATCATATTTAGCATAATGTTATTAAGTATATTTTATATACTTTTTATAAATTCATGTTTACTTTAGAGAATAACAACTATAATCTTACTAAGTATATTTTAAATATATGTTATTATAAATCCCTGTTTACTTTAAATAATTACAACTATAAACATTTGTATTTGTTAAATCTCTTAGAGAATAGGCAAATAGCCAATGTATTATAGTCTGCACCAATACCTCATTTGTTTTGTCTTTCTCAAATTTTGATATTCAAACTACTTTATATTTTCTCTTTAAACACACTGGGGGGGGGGGGGATCTTTTTCTCTTCCTCTTTCACTGTCCTCAAATCATACTCTATCTACCTCTTTCTTTTTTCCTCTTCCTTATGCTACTTCTACCCCTACCCCATTTCTTTCTCTACTGCCTTCTGCCCCACCCCCGTTCTGCCTCTCTTCCTCTTTGTTTTATCCCTTTTTACCTCTGTATTATCTATCTATATTATCTTTTTACTCTGTGTTTCACCTCTCTCTCTCTCTCTCTCACTCTACCTTATTCTCCCTGGCATCTGAATCTCTGTCTTTCTCTGCTTTTTTTTTTTCCTCCTCTCTCTCTCTCCCTCTCTCTCTCCCTTGCTCTCCCTCTCTCTCGACACTATAGTGTAGTATAAAGTGTGTGTGTGTGCATATATATACCGTGTTTCCCCGAAAATAAGACACTGTCTTATATTTTTTTGGCTCAAAAAAACACACTAGGTCTTATTTTCGGGGTAGGTTTTATTTTTTTTCTTTAATGTATAACAATCCAAAGGTAATGCAAATCCAAATTAAATTATCCAAAATGACAAAGTTAAGAATAGGGTGATCAGGGCAATCAGGGGTGCCATACCTTTCCAAGAGCAATTTGGTAACCAGATTCTCTTTCGATTCCTCACAGGCGGAGTGCATTTGGTATCACTCCGCCTGTGACAGGAGCCGGCACTATAGAGGAAACATCAGCTTATAACCTTGAGGGCTTACAATCTAAAACGGAGGGGCAAGTGATACATGAGGAGGCAACTGTGTGGGGATGTATTGTTTGAGAATGTGATGGTTGAGTGGTTAGTTTGAGGTGGGATAGGCTTCCCAGAAGACATGAGTCTTAAGGGATCGCCTACAGGCAATCAGAGTGGGGGATAGTCAGACAGGTTGGAGTAAAGAGTTCCAGAGGACGGGAGAGACTCTAGGGAAGTCCTGGAGGCGAGCATAGGAGGAGTTGATAAGGTAGCTGGAAAGCAGAAGGTCTTTTGAAGAGCGGAGGGGGCGGTTAGGGTGAACTTTGATACAAGATCTGAGATATATCCGAGGGCAGAGTTGTGGATGGCTTTGTAAGTGGTTGTTAATATTTTGAATTTTATCCTTTGGGCTATTGGAAGCCAGTGCAGGGATTGGCAGAGGGGGGTTGCAGACACTGAGCAGTTGGTTAGGTGGATGAGTCTAGCAGCTGCATTCATGATAGACTGAAGGGGGGATAGTCTGTGTAGAGGTAGGCCAATGAGGAGGGAGTTGCAATAGTCAAGACGAGTGAGTGGATGAGTAATTTTGTGGTTTCATTGGTGAGGAAGGTGTGTATTTTGGAGATGTTACGAAGGTGAAGGCGGCAGGATTTGGATAGCGATTGGATGTGGGGAAGAAAGGTGAAGTCCGAGTCAAGGAAGACACCTAGTACCTTGGCCTGGAGGGAGCTTTGGATAGTTGTGTATCAATCTCAAGGGAAATGTTGGGGGAAGGTGCATGGGCAGGAGGAAATATCATGAGCTCAGTTTTGGAAATATATATATGATAATTAAAGAATAACTCTGGGCAAATAAAGTTTGAAGAAGTGTTGTGACATCCAGACTGATGAGTGTTATCGGCATAGAGATGGTATTGGAAGCAATGTGAGGTTATTAACTGACCAAGGGAGGAGGTGTAGATAGAGAAGAGAAGGGGTCCAAGGACAGAGCCTTGGGGGACCCCTACAGAAAGAGGAAGAGGAGGGGAAGAGTTAGATTTGTAGCGATGTAATGTCCCTCGGCGTCCTCACATCCTATACACTGTATTGAACGTGATGACTCACTAGACCTTAGACCTCTGCAGCGGAAAGAGTGAGGCTGAAGGGACCAGTGTAAGAGCCAACCGGGATCGTGGTTTGGGTGAGTACATCTTTGTTATTTTAGCTCCCTAGACAAAATGAGCGCTTAATTCTGCTGCATGGGTTAAGATTTTATTTGCCCGGAGTTATTCTTTAATTATCATATACTATATACAGCCATTGTATGAACAATTGCATTGTGAGAACTGCGAGGGACCCCCCTCAACACAGAGCATCGGAGAGAAGAGGGGAGCAACGGAGCCTGCTAGAGCGAGGGGATCGAAAGATCACAGCAGGACAACGCTGGATTAACTGGGCAGGTAAGTATAATAACTCTCCATGGAGCAGTGTAATCCCTCACATGTGTTTCTGTATAAGTCTTTCCCTAGCCGCTAGAAATGCTTTACTCAAACCCATTTTTACTGATTGTCCTGTGGTCAGAAATATGTTAAAATACATACATCTGGAAATGATACATAAACAAAGGGAAGTAAAATCAAAGAGACCCAACAATGATATCCCCTCTTTGATCATGAAGTCACTCAAACTTTATAGGGTTTTCTGTAGGATCAAAATCATAGTACGGCAAACAATATGTTCACTGGGCAGCCCTGAAGCAGATTTATTTCTCCCAGCATTGCTCAGACAGACAACCCTTGTGTCTATTCGCACATATGTATGAGTATTTGTCTTCTTTGTAAAACCCCATCCATTACTGTTCACTTAGTTGCCTTTGAAATCGTGAGCAGCTCAACTACTTTTCTATTTTTATGAATAATGGTGATCTTTCTTTTTTTTTGTTACATTAAAGGAAAAAAAAAACTAGACAATGCAGAACGCAGTCACCGTAGAGGTGAGATTGGTCACTTGTGCAACCTTTGCGTGTACTCTCCTGTTCTTGTGACTTTGCTTGCCCCCTTCTGGTTTTAGCAGGGTAAAGGATCCTACCTTAGGCAGCTTCTGTGTTATTACTACAATCATTGCTGTGAGTACACTTTACACAGAAGCGTGCTAATACAGGATGTTGTTGCTGTTAACACACCCACACAAGCAGTGCAAACCTAGGGAGTTAACCCTTTCACTGTCTGCAGCGTACATATATCTCCTGTATGAAGCTTCTCTCTTTCTTAGAATACTGTTTAAAGACATTGAAGCATCGACCAGCCAAAATTTTTAGGGTAGGGCTAAAAATTCTTGTTTCTGTTGTATGTGCCTTGGTGAGTTGTGTCAACACACATCTGTCATTTCCTGTTTGAGGTTACACTTCATACATTCATTTACAGTAAATGCAAATGCCCTGCTAGCAGTATACAGAATTAGTTGAAGTCATATGAACACTTACTTTCCCAGGCACCAGAAAAACCTCCTATTAGTACACGCATTCAATGCGAAAAATGCCACACAGATTTAAATTGAGCTTCATGCAAATGAAATTGCAGATCAGGGATACTGGACTACCTGTAAATTGAGGCAGAGGACAGGAGAGAGACACAAAGTCATGTCTGCAGAGTCTCCTAGCTGCCATTATAACAGTGTGACATGCATGTATTAAGAGGATATGTTTCAAGTGGACCGTCATTAAAATTCAAACGTACCAATAAAGTACACATTAGCATTACTAGTTAACAATAATTTATTACAGGTATTTATACAGCGCCAACAATTTACATTCACATCCGTCCCTGCCTTCAAGGCGCTTACAATCTAAGGTCCCTATCACACATATGAGGGCCAACTGAGAGAGGAGCCAATTAACCTACCAGCATGTCTTTGGAGTGTGGGAGGAAACCCATACAAGCACAGGGACAACATGCAGACTCCAGCAGATAGCATCCTGGCCAGGAATTGAACCAGGGACCCCATTGCTGCAAGGCAGAAGTGCTAACCACTAAGCCACTGTGCTGCTCATTGGGTGCAAGTTCTACTTGCGTGCCATGAATAAAGCATATTCTGCCTCCTCTGGTGATCTAAAGCCAAAACAGTGCATATTACATGGTCTCTGGATACATGAGCATTGAAGACATTTCACATCATTAAAGACTGCAGAGAGTCTATTGTGTTCAGTCAGACAGACCCTGTTTGGTAGATCTGAAGTGAGATAAGAAGCTCCTTAAAGCACAGAATTGTGCTTCACTACTAAAAGCCCATCATACACAGTTAGGGTATCATGTATAATACGACAGTAGCACCCCTAGAATATGGGGGTGAATATAGGAAAATTCTGGTGAAATATGGTGAATATAGGAAATTTCCATAGGGGTACTACTGCTGTACACGATGTACTAAAGCCCTAAAATTTCTCTTGTTCACCCAATTCTCATATCTACGTTAAACAGTGTGGATGGTTTATTCTCCCCTGCTAGCTATTGTATTCTAACATCTGGCGCCTATGGCTGCCAGAATACCCAAACAGTGCCGTGGTTGATTGGCTGTCACGGTTCCACCTACAATTTTCTGCCCATCTTCTTCAATTTTTCAGTAAAAGCTTTGGGTGGTATCAGTAGGGCCATCCACACAGGGCCGGATTCCCGGCAAGGCCACCGAGGCAGTTATTTGTTTTCTACATTTAGCTCTGCTTTGCACAAGCAGAGCTAAATGTTGAATAGGAGAAATCACCTGTTTCTTTGCAAGTAATCTCGGCGATGTCGCCGAGATCACCTGTAATTACACTGTCGGTCCGTCCTCCCCCCTCCCTCCCCTGCACTTACCTCTCTCCATGCTGCGTCCTCCCGTCTCCGTCCTCGCCGCCACCGTCTTCAGGATGGAGAGGTGAGCAGAGCGGCAGGGTTAAAAGAAACCCTGCCGCTCTGTGTAGACAGTGAGAGGGGAGAGCTGTGCTCTTCCACTCTCACCTGTCACAGGAGTTCCAGCACAGTACTGTACTGTGCTAGAGCTCCTGTATTGGAGGTGACAGGTTCAATAAAGAGAATCTGTCACCTCCAAATGCTATCACACAGTGACTTGTTAGTTAGCAATAAAGTTAGGTGAAAAAAAATTGATACAAAATAATTACATAAATAAAAAAAAGTAATAATAATTATATTAAAAAATAAAGTAATAATAAAAAATAAGATACAAAATTATAAAAAAAGTAAAATATGACAAGATGAATAAAAATGTAAAAAGTAAAAAAAAAATAATTAAAAAGTGATAAAGTAAAAAAAAAGGAATAAACACAAAAAAATGGCATTCTCTCGGTGGTGGGGGGGCATTGCCAAACCCTGCCTTGGGGCGCCAGGGAGGGCAAATCCGGTCCTGCATCCACAGATTGCATTTCGGCTTATTTATCAGGAAATGGACAAAATCCAGTCTGTGTATGACCAGCTTAGGAAGCGGCAGAACCTGTATTGGTATTGAGCATATATATATATGACCCATGTACATACAGTATATATTTACTAACTGTTCTAGGAAGCAAGGCTTTCAATACATTAACATACCTCACAAAGATTATCGACAGCGCATTAAAATCACATATAATCCTTAAAAGGCATAGAAAAATAATAAATGCGCACATCTTCATAATAGTAAAAATGTGCATGTATTATTTTTTTGCCAGTAAAACATTTCCACCACAATCAGTAGATCATGGGTGCAATGCTCTGGCTCCTGCAGATTCTTCCTCCTGCCCATGTTTGTACTAAGGGAGGAAGAATGAAAGGACTACAAGTGCAGGGACATTACCGTATTGTAATCCACTGAGAACTATAAGTCCCTCTCCCACAGTGGCTGATAGAACTTGTAGATTCTCCATCACAGATCCTTTCAAAGACTCTGTGAATGGATGACGTGGCTGTTTAGGTGGAGCCAAGCACAGCCGCGCCAAATTCAAAGAGAGGAACCCCCAGATTAGGTAAATGGGGGAGGGGGCTGCAATGTAACCATGTTTCATGTTACACACTAAATAAAGGTGTAACATGAAACATGGTCCAAAAAGTAAGCTTAGCCTTTAAAGAGATTACAATTCCCCTTTAAACTACATTCAGCCTTTACCTATAGATCAGTATGTTTGAAAAGGTTCCTCTGCAGTAAAAGGTTTAGAAAGGCTGAGTTAGAACAATCAATCAAAAATATTTTCTAAGGTGATGTCAAAATGGGATTGGATGTTTGAGGTATTGCACGTAGCTTACCAATAATACTGTACTGAGGTTAAATGGAGATCAGAATGTGTTTTGTTCTGGTATAAACATGGCAGTTTATTACTGTTGTGCCCTGTTGTGGACAAGACATGCTTTGCCTTGTAATGCATTGTAACCTGTAAACCTGATTCTCTTCTTTATAGGGAAAAATAAACGCTTACGGCAAGCAAAAGAGGAGGCTACGGCAGATATCGATCAGTATAAGCTAAAAAGAGAGAGTGACTTCCGGCGTATTCAGACCTCTGTAAGTATTTATTTGTAAAAGTCATCCTTGAGAGAGATAGGCACGGACCAAGGCTGTGGCAGACATTTTCCAAAGTACAGACCTTAGTGAAGGACACCATTTCAAATCAAAACCATCAAAAAACACTCTGTCTAGTCTCCGGCCTAGTTTCACAAGTACAAATAAGTTATACACTATAGAGGACTACAAATCCCAGCAATAGTTTATACGGCAATCCAGAATAATACCATCAGCTATAGAGGAATACAAATCACAGCAATACATTATACAGCAATGCAGAGTACCGACAACTATAAAAGACTACAAATCCCAGCAATACATTTTACAGCAATGCAGAATACCACCAACTATAGAGGACTTCAAATCCCAGCAATAAATTATACAGCAATGCAGAATCCCACCCACTATATAGTACTACAAATCCCAGCAATGCATTATACAGTAATGCAGAAAAATAAAAAGCTACATAGTCTGTGTCACTTCAGGATCACAGCCTCATGTCTCCATGGTCTCAGGAGGGCCCTCAGGTGGTCAGTGCATGCTCCCTGGTAGTCTGTGGCTCCCTGGTGGTCAGCGCAGGGCTCCCTGGTGGTCAGCTCAGGGTTCCCTGGTGACCAGTGCAGCGCTCCCTGGTGGTCAGTGTGGGGCTCCCTGGGGGTCAGTGTGGGGCTCCCTGGGGGCCAGTGGCTCCCTGGTGATCAGTGTGGGGCTCCCTAGGGGCCGGTGGCTCCCTTGTGGTCAGTGCGGGGCTCCCTGGGTGCCAGTGGCTCCCTGGTGGTCAGTGGGATGCTTAGCCAATATTTATTATTTTATATTTACATTCACTTTAGTCAAGTAATGCTTGACCAAAAAACCCTTTCTTGCACGTATGCAGGAAAGTACCAATGCTACCAATTGTGCAGTGCAAGATCACAAGGGAAAGCACAGTCTCCAGCAGCTGTCCATCTACTAGCTTGGAGAAGGAAAAATAGGAGGAGTGGGGAGCAGTGCAGTTGTTTGTCTTGCTGTGCCTATGTGTTTGTGGAGACACACACAGCTTACTAACACACACAAGGGTGGCCCCACAGGACCCTGCAAGGGAAAGGAGCCACCCTAAAGCAGGAAATCAGGGCCAGAACTTGGGGGACCAGCTGATTCTGCAGGAAGCTAAAAATGTTAAACATCAAGGGGCAGCATCCTTTGTATGTAATTTAATCAGCATTGGAAATGGCTTAAATATATTTTGGCTTTAACTGCCTTCTGGCCGGCCGTTGTAAAGGGACTGCCGGCCAGGAGCTTCCTGTATGTAACAGGCCGTCAAAAGATGGCCTGTTAGCCCCACCCACTTGCGCACGAGCGAGACTTGCCCTGATTTAAAAACATGCAGCGATGCCTGTTAACATACAATCGGGCAGATTGCTTGTATAACGTGCCGGTATGTGTGCCCCCTCCGCGGCCCCCCTCCCACTGTTCTCGAGCTCCGCTGTGCCCGGTGCGTGCCCGGGACCAGCATGGGGGCTCTGTGACAGGTGATCAGAGGGAGATTGGTACACTCTCCGGTGTCAGAATGCGGAAGTGATGTATGTTACATCACTTCCGCATTCTTGTGTCACTCTCCAGTAGGGTTGCACAGATACCAAGTACAGTACTCGGTACAAGTATGAGTACATGTACCGATACTTTTGAGCTCCAAGACTACACTAGAGAAAAATTAAAAAATTAGGAGGCAGCTGTCATTTGTAAGGAGCACACAGAGCTCCTGGGATTTGTACATCTCTATTTTAATGTACGATTTTGTTTTTATGAATAGAAATAAAGGGATGCACAGATACCAGTTTTGCGAGTACGAGTACTGATACTTGCCGAGTACTTACAAGTACGAGTACTGATACATTTTTGTTTATTGTCATGTGACAGTTTTTCTAAAACAATACAGACTAATGATTTCAGGACAGTGGTGGAGTGCCAGAGCCAGGTCCCAGCTGCAACCGCTGCAACCCTGGTAGTTCTTGTGAAAATGCCAAGTATCTGCACTGGTACTCGAAAAGTATCTGTGCATCCCTACTCTCCAGCTTTAGAAGCTTGAGAGAAGCTGATGAAGCAGATCTCTGCTTTATCAGCTTCTTTGGGGGTCCTAGGTGACATTAGGGGTCTTGGAGACCCCTGATGTCTCTATAAAGAGGACCTGTCACATCTCTTTGCTAGCACATAGGGGGTTTCTTATCCCCCTATGTGATAACAATAAAGCTAAGTGAAAAAAAAATAGGGAAAATAAAATATAGTCACACATGAAAAAGAATGTAAAAAAACACAAAACATTTTTTAAAGTCCCCACCCATACATACACGCGTGCAAACATGCGTCAGGTGCGCATATAGTGTGCAAACGATGATTGCGCCAATTGCGCCGCACATGTTGCATATCGCCGTGAATGTCTCAGTGAGAGCAATAATTTTAGGGCCATTAATCACTGATAACACTAAACTGATGAGCAGTAAAAGCTTTTAAAGCATCGCTTATGGTCAATTTTGAGTGGTAGTTTTTTGCAATTTCCAGGGTGCATGCAATTTTAAGGCTTGACATGTTTGGTGTCTATTTACCCGATGTGATCCCATCTTTTATATTTTACCAAAAAATTGGGTAATAATAAATGTATTATAAAATAATGTAAAAAACAAACTTTTTTTCACACTTTTCAGTATTTTTCCTTAATATAGTAGAAATAAAACCCGCAGTGGTGATTAAATACCACCAAAAGAAAGCTCTATGTGTCCCCAAAGAATGGTATAAAATTAATTTTAGCACAGCGTTGCATGAAGGAATAAATGTCAGTCAGTCAAAGTACCGCAGCACTGAATACTGAAAAATGGCCTGACCAGGAAGGGGGTTTAATACCTGGTCTTCAAGTGGTTAATATCACTTTAAACATTGTGTGTGCTAACAAGGGGTTAAAACCTTTGAGGCATTGTTTGTTAATGAGAGAAAGTTCAGTCTGACCCTCAGTCCAACATTATAGTTTCACTCTCAAACTGCTTGGAAGTAGCTTGGGATCTGCACAAAGGCGTTCACCAAAGAAACAGCTAAATGGGAGGAAACATATTTAAAAAAAATATTTTTAGATATGCTGTGTGGATGGGATTACATAGCAAACATAGAGGGAATTTCTCAAATTTGACTGCAAAAGTGGAAGTACGCTTTAAGCCTCATTAACCACACTTCTTCACATTAAAGTAGAACTCAGATTTTTTGGTTTTGTTTTGCATAGTTAGCAGCCTTTCTCAGGTTTTAGTGGCTGCCTGTATCCCCACTGGGGAAATGCCTCTTCCCTGTCCTGATAGCACAAAAATCTGTAAACAAATCGTGCCAATGAGGTCACAGATTGCAATCGAAACCTGACAGACGTGTTAACTTTCCCCACTCTCCAAATAAAAGTGCTTTTACTGCTCTGTAAGTATCTGTTGGATATATTCTCCTCACTCCCCCTCTTGGTGACACAACTGGAACTAAGGATATATCTCGCTACTACATACAATCAATACAAACCAGACAGTGTTTCTACACCTTCTCTATTCTATCCAAGAAAGAAGAAAAACAAACTTTGGCTGGAAGTCTACTTACCTTTTTTACCTAGCGCTATTAGTGTTATTGCTACAGGATACTCATAATTTGTATATACAGTAAATAATGTAGAAAAGCACTGGTGCAGGCACATACTAGGCAAACAAAAAGTGAAGGAGAAGAGACCAGAGAAAGATCTGTCTGGTAAAGGTAAACTCATTCTACAACAGTTAGAGATGTTAAACCACATTTTATGATTAGGAAATGTTACATTTCACCAAAAATAAAATAGTAAAAACAAAAATATATAAAAAGATTTAAAAAATATAAAAACAAAAAAGTAATAGTCTGGAGCACTGCTCATTTGCCACAGTAGGTCAAAACTTCAAAATCTCTATTTCCCGTTGGTGTTTTTTTTTTTTTCATAACTTCACAAAGTGAAAATTAATTTCACATCGCTCATAATATGACACTTTTTTGATTTCGTAATAATTTAATTTTGCCATTTTCAGTGTACTTGCACTACTTTTTTAGTTAGTCAGGACACATGTCAATCAAGTTATGGGATCACCTTTCTGTTTTCAACCAATAAACCCCTGGATCTTAAACCATACCACCTACAGTAAACACAGTAGCATTGTAGTGAGTGTTCTATAGGTTTCCGGTATCAAATCTTGGCATCATTTGCTAAGACATAGGACATAAACCATATGAAAGATGCCTTGTAGCTCCTCCTGTCCTTAGCACAGGTGTACTTGGTCATAGTGTAAAATGTGGTCCTACAGGTTTGCAGTTAAAGTGACACTCTGGAGTTAAATCTTAAAAATGCATTCAAGTACTTGAACTATTAACAAAAATGTGTCTTATTTGTGTATCACTCGGCTGTAGATCCTCAAATCATCTCTGAATTGGTGCTGACACTGTCCTTCCTTCTGGAGGGGGGCTACTTTATAACACACACAGGGACCATGGGAAACAAAAGCTCACTCCCGTGATGGATTACAATCTCACATTTAGTTTACTGACTTGTATTAGGATTGTAGTCCATCAACAAAAACAAACAAAAGTAGCCACCTTCGAGAAGAAAGAACAGTGTCAGCATGAATTCAGAGATGATTTGAGGATTTACAGGTGAGAAATACACATTTCTGTTAACAGTTACAGGGTTATGCACAAAAGGGTGAAGAGTTTGGAGAAGGCTGGAGAAGTGAACAGTCTAGGCCAAAATAGATGATTAGAAAAAATTCAGCTCACTTTCCAGTTCAGCAATATTGTCCTAGATTGTTCACTTCTCCTGCCTTCTCCAAACTCTTCACACTTTTGTGAATAACTCTGTTAGTGTTCTTGAATGCATTTTTAATATTTAGCTCCTGAGTTTAATGTAACTTAAACATGTCATTGTAATTTGATGCCTATCCTAACACTGTGCTCTTTCACCAGATAATGGGATCACAAGGTAATTTGGCAGTGAAGATAGATGAACAAACCAATGAAAAGATGCAAGCTTACAATTCAAACTACCAGAAATTCAAGGAGAAAGTCTTAAAGGAACTTCTGGACCTGGCCTATGATGTTAGACCAGAACTTCACATAAATTATAAGTTCAAGCATTAAATACCATTCCATCTCCAAAATACAACCTCTATTTATAATGCTTTTAGGAGAATTAGGAAGTGACAATGACCCAGGACCACTAAAGACATTAGAGAGACAACTGGACCAAGGAAGACTTATTTTTAAACATTAGCTGGAATGTTATTACGACTAAATTTAAATGTCTAGCGCTGCATTATTTGGTTCATTTTGACCTGTAAAAACATTGTATTAAAACCTGAAAGTTTTTACTGTAGGAATCCCAAGAATAAATACCCTAACATAAATAATAAATAATAATAAGTGTCATTGCTTGTATGCAATTCATAGTTGCTAATTTTCCATATATCTATAGAAAGAGCAGAAAATAAAATAAGGGTTAATTAATGTTATAAGTACTAAATATATCAAATATATTTGCTTGAAAATGAACTGTTTCTTTTTTTTTTTTCTTTTTGTTTCAGCAAATCACAAGCTATGCTTTTGCCAGCTTTTTTTAGTAGACAGCACTAGAACAATGACTAGTTCTGACTACTCAGACTAGTGTGACAGACTAAGAACCTTATTCCCACCACGGAGTGTATCTCTGCCTGATTCAACACAGAACACAATTCTTGCTCCTCAGTAGAAACTCATGAAGTCCCTTTTATGCTTCCCTTTGCCCCATACTTACCTGCTGTAGTAAACAGCTCTGTTTTCATCAGGTAACACTGCACTTCCACGGCAAACTGACTGTGAGTAGCATAGAAATTTTACAGATGTCTGCCTCATTTTGATTGTAGCTGAGAAGACATCCCTAGACCCTATTACACCGCTCAGCTACAGCACAAGCTGTTCTGCCCTATTTCACAAAAGTCTAAACCTTTAATCCCTGCATACATTTTGAACTAACTATATTCAGAGTGAGGCATTTTAAATGCAAAAGAGGGATTTCAACGTTCATACCAACGTGACAGTAGATTCACTAACGTCCCAATGAATGAATAAGCATTACAGGAAAGAGTTTGTAGCCCAAAATTAAGTAAGTTTGAATTGAAGTCAACTTTTTCATTTGTGAGTCACACCATAGGAAAACAAAGGGCAGTGGTATTACTATTACTATATTATTATTATTATTATTAATATTCAGGATTTATATAGCTCTAACAGTTTGCACAGCGCTTAAGACAATATATTTGCAAAGCTGCTTGTTGTTCCCAGTTATATTTAAGATGCTGTGTTTTAAAAAGTACAGTTATTCTTCATGGTAAGGAACTAAAAGAAAAGCAGATTATAGAAAAGGAAGTTAAGATAATGTTCTAGATAATGCCAACAAATTCATAAGGAAGTGTGTATGGGTTCTATTAAAAAAAATAAATGAATGTTTTGAGAATAAGGCAAAAACTCATGTTCTTAGGGGGTTATTCACAAAGCTGCCGAAGGCAGCCGAGTGAATAACCCAGCCGAGGTGAAGTGAGCGGAACAACGTTGGGCTATTCAATCCGGCTCAGTACGGCTGATTTCAGCCGTACATCGGCTGAAATCAGCCATACATCAGCTGCCTTCAGCTGCACTTCGGTCAGCCGAACATGCTGAGCCAAAGTGCAGATGGACTTCAACTCAGCCGATCCAACATCTGGTTCAGCTGAGCCGAAGCTCCGGCAGCTCACTAGCTGCCGTTCGCCCCTATGCCCGTAGGGGCCGAACGGCAGTGAGTGAATAGCCGAATTCAGCATTCGGCTCGGCTATTCTGCTCGGTACCTCGGTGGTACCAAGCAGAATAGGAAATCAATGAAAAAAGTTTTTAAAAAAAGGTTGGAAAAAAGATTTTTAAAATGTAAATAAATAAAGCAAATTAAGATTTTAAAAAACTATTGGGCGGAGCCAGCAGTGACAGCTAGCTCCGCCCAACTATTTACTATTGGCCAGCACCTACTAGAGTCTTCTAGCAGGTACTGGCCAATGAATAACAACTGGGCGGAGCCAGCTGTGACATCACGGCCGGCTTCACCCAGTTGTTATTGTTTTAATGACAGTTCAGCGTCCCAAGGTCATTTGGGAACGCTGATTTGTCATTACAACTGGGCAGAGCCAGCCATAAGATCACAGCTGGATCCACCCAGCTGTCAATTGCAGAGCAAAAGGCAGGCTGTTCGCCCCACTTCGGCTGACACTTCGGCCCAGTTGATCTGAAGCAAATGCACGGCACGGCTGAGCTGCTCGGCCGCCTTCGGCTGCTGTACAGGCTATTGTGAATAATCACAATAGCCCGTTCTACTGACTCGAAGGGCTTCGGTTCGACTGACCCGAAGGGCTCCAGCGGCTCAAGAGAGCCGAAAGATCAGCCGAAGCTATGGCTGGATCCTTCGGCTCCTTTGTTAATAGCCCCCTTAGTGGGTTATTTTTTTCTTCTGGTCACATGTTCTTCAATAGGTTTATTTATAAAGAACAGAGTGAATGGGGGAAATGACCACATTATAGCCACTAGATGGAGGTGAGGATCATAGGAAATAAATATGTTACTAACAAGATACAATTCAAAAGAACCATCGTAAGGATGAGCATATAAATGTGACCATTGCCATCCCTGAAGTAGCAGTGGTTACATTTATATATATAGATCTATATATATTGTGACAAGGTACATGACTCTGTGTATGTCAGTGAGAGGTTGAAAAGGGCAACTTTCCCTGGCTAGGAAGGGGTTAAGCCTTGCCCCAACAGGTACACCTCCACTCTCTATATTAATTAGCCTCCACCTGATAGTGACTGAGAGGGGGAGAGAGCTCAGAGCGAGATCCAGGCTGCACTGGATGGACACAGACTGGAGAGTGTCTGCATATCTGGGGAATAAGGTCTGCCAGAAAAACTGTATGTATTGGACTTTTTGTTCATTTATACTGGAAGCTGGAATAGCTGCTCCAGTAGGACGTAGTGAGGGACACTACTGTTTAGTTAGCCTCCTAAGGTGGAGTAGGCCTTTTTATTTGTGTTACTTTTGAGTTCTGCCGGAAATTGTTTAAAAAGGTGGAAACGTACCCTGTTGATAATAAGAGACTTTTACGTTGAATGCAATAAAGCTGCATTTATTGCCAATACTGATTAAAGACCATATATGTAAAAGACACATTAATATATATTTCTCTGATCTGGACTAGCCCTCTGTTCAGTAGTCCCATAGTAGTAAATTGCTAGTTGGCACTGCCAAACCTCCTTTAGCTTAAACTGCCAGATAGCACAGAAGACACCCCCCAAATGTAAACACTTTATCAAATTCCTAAAGTGAACCTTTACCGATATCTTTAAAATAACAACAAACACGCCTTTAGAAATGTTTAGTAAACACTTACTTCTAGATAATTGCAGGCTTTGTATTCTTTGCATACCTTATTTCTCTTTTCTTCCCCAGTCTTCTGACATTGGCCATGTTTACGAAGGGCAGATTAGTAGATCTCCTATTACTTCCTGAAAATCTGGCACATGTGACTAGACATGTGACCATGCACATCATCTCAGGAGAGGAAAATGCCTTTCCAGGTGAGATTTCCCAGCATTGCTCTACTGGTGACAAGGCAATCCCAGTGTGCATTGCATTGGCAAACTAAAGTCTTTTTGCCCTTTCAAAGCAGGAAGTGAATGCTCTGCAAGTGTAAGTATTATAAAATCACAGCATTTTACAACTCACATGTCTATGTTATTATTAATCATCATACATAGAGGGATGCATTGGTAGAATTTGATTTTCGAGTGTAAAGTTCCGCTTTAACAAATGTCCTTATTTTTAAAGGGACATGGTCTTTTAAAATTGCCTCTACAACTAATTAAAGCCATTAAAGCAGTAAGTGTTCTCTTTGTTTTAAGCATTTTAATGTATGCAATGCCATACAGTATCCATAACATTTTTATGCGTGATATCTATCGCAAATATTAATATCTTTTCAGCGGCAAAGTAACAGTTAAGCAAGATAAGTGGTGCAATTATTTTCCTGGCTCATATCATTCGCTCTCATTTCCATATTCTCGTTAGATTGCTAACGAAGACGATACAAGTTGACATTGTCCTGTTTTGCATATTCCCTCTCTGCTTGCTTTGATAGTCTACCACTAATTGCTCCATATGCCCATAAGATTTTTTTCTCTTTCCACTTGAAATAGCAAAAGGCTTTTAACTGAGTTTGTATGAACAGGGCATCGGAGCAGGCTAATTAACCACTCACATTAATATATCCATGCAAACTTAGATTCACATTGGCCACAGTTCTGCATTAGACATGCTACTGAATGTCTGGGCCTTTGAGGAAACAAATATATTTAGAAGTACAGTATATTATACTACTGTGCAAATTAGTGTTATGTAATAAATGTACAGTGTAAATCAGACAATAGATCAAAACACTGCCCTCATCTGCCGCAGTGGCTCGGCTGGCTGTCACTGACACAGCTCCACAGTGGCTATGAGGGGAAATGCGACGTGGCCGCTGCTGAGCTGTGTCTGTGACAGCCAGCACCCCCACATGCCATGTGCCCGGGCCCCATAGCGGCCGCCTGGGTCGCTATGGCGATTCTTACGCCACTGAATGTGAATGAGTGCACCCCCAGTTCACTGGGACAGCAGAGCCATGATCTCTGATTTTACTAGCAGTGTCCTTGCCGGTAAATAACGCCATTGTGCTTTATCCTTTCAGATTGTTGTTCTATCACATGTTTTATTTCATAAGACCGATATAGTAGATATAGTACCCTTGTTTTTCTTGCTTCAACGGACCAAGACTGTTCATTGAAGTATAAAAAAAATTACTAGCAAGGATTTGTTTAATGAAACAGTGCAGGCTACAAGTCTGTATTTAAATTGCAGTAATGTGAAATTTGAATGATTGTAATCGACTATTACACAGTGAGCATAGCGATTGCACATTACACTGCTTTTTTGCAAGAATAAGGACCTGACAATATTGAACTGCCAGGCATGGCAGTAGTTGAGTTTATTATACTGTACACAGAAATGTGTTACTGGCAGTCAGCAATGTGTAGGTGGCTGTGTGTCGTCCCCGGCAGTCCTGCATTACTAGGCCAAGGCTATTGGAGCTTATGAAG